CTCTTATTGTGGTCATGTCTGGATCATAATCTCCATGTTACACAAGAGACAACTGTATAACCTATCTTCAAATGCACGCACGTGAGCACGCACACACACACACACACACACACACACACTAGAGAAAGAAAAGAAACCTGAAAGAAAATATTTCCTTGGGCCAGCTGGTTTATAGTGAACACACATGAGTGTTTTCCCAACAAGGAAGGGAGTCAGTGTCTATAATGGAAAATGAGTTTTCACCTAAAGCTAACAACACAGATCCAGGTAGTAATGATTCTGGACCTCAGGAATGGTAGTCTAAGTGCAAGGTGACATAAGTAATGTCTACATATTCTAAGATTCTAGTTCATTACATAGTGCAAAGAAAATAATAAGAATGGAGAGTTTAGCATTTGTGAAGTCCTGTGGGTGGGAGAGGGATTTGACTGTGAAGAGTGCTTCATACAGGCTCGCTACAGGGATTATGGTAGTTGTTCCATGAACATGCACTTCACTGTGTTTGTAGAGCTCTATCCTAATGTATATACTTTTTCGGGGGGGCAGTACTGGGGATTGAACTCAAGACCTTGTGCTTGCCAGGCAAGTGCTTATTCTACTGAGCCATCCAGCTCCCTAGCCCATATATACTAATTATTGGAGTGATGCACCAATTAAAAGTGACCAAACAAGAAATAACAACAAAGGATACAAACATGTGAGAATATTCAAAATACTCAGCTTACACCAACACACAAGTTAATTGCTCTTTCCTTAGACAAACATGGCAGAGAGCTGCAGGTGCCCTCACAGGAAACTTCCCCAGAGAGCTGTGTTGCAGCATCCCACTTGGTCCCTCAGATACCTTCTGAAGTCCAACGAGAAGCCAGGTGATATTTTTGTAACAAGACTAGATGCCTGCTGGGATGCTGGTCAGCACTGCCTCATCTCAGGGTTCATCTTCATTAGGAGGCCAGGATTTCTTCTGTGCTAAAGCTTCGCTAGGAATCTGCAACCCTGGCTAACGAAAATATACCAGATAAGAACTGCATTGACTGACCTCAGAGAGGTAAGCAGTTATCAGGTTATTTGTGCAGCTGCTTTTGCCTTAAACGTACAAACACAACTCTGTGATTTACCAGACCGAAACTCATTTGACAAGTAAGGAGGAAGGGAAGGGCAGGTTTGGGGCCTGAGTGCACTGTAGCGTTTTTCCTATAGTGTTTTGCCGGCTTCCAGACTACTGAGCCTGTTGATGGTTACCTTCAACAAACCCAATGGAAAGGCCCTGATTCATTAGTGAGTGGAAGCAATTCTGCTTTCAGACTAATTATTCACAAGACTTTGATCAAGAAGCAGGGTAAGCTTCCACAGCCATCCGATGCTTTTTGTGCAACCTGTGGTTCGGGAAAACTGTAGTAACACATCTTCTAAGAGTTATTGGAGCAGGAATATAGACGCTTTCAACAGTTTTTCAAAATCCCTGAAATAAAGCTTTATTGAATATACCAAAATTCTATTATTAGAGACTTGAATGTATTTATGAAAGGTCCTCTTGCTGTTCACTGAAATAAGCAGCAAAAAACATGAGCGGCGAGTCTCTGATTGACCAGAAATTTGATTTGATTTTTCCATGTCGATTATTCTCTCATAGGAGGTAAAAGACACAGAAACAGAGCAAAATTATTCTCATCTTTATTAAAAAGGCACCTACATGAATTGGCAGGGTTTGTTTCATTTTAATGTTTTCCCCTCAATTCCATAAGCTCATCTTTAGCTTTATTGTTAGACCTATCCTAGCGCACAGTGATGTGTCTAACAGCAAGGCCTTTAGGAGACGGGGCTTATGTACAGAGTTTAGCGTGTCCCTACTCTGCCTGGAACTTTCCAGCAGCCCTTGATTAGCTCCACCCCTAATCAACTGCGCTCACCATGCAGCAAGAAACCTCAGCGCTCCTCTTTGTGCACGCGCAGCCACCCATGGACGTGAGGCCTCAGCCACCGTCAGGTCTCACTGTAGAGCGAAGCACTACGGCTGGCTGTGGGCTAGGTCCTGTGGGCGAGCCTGGCAGACGAACACGTGACAGGAGCAGAGAAAACCAAGAGGCCGCGGAAGGCAGGACGTGAGTGTGCCCAAGAAGTCCTCAGCTGGAATAGCACTGCTTGTAAGTAGTACTGCTGCATTCAGAAGGACTCAAGCACAACTCCTCCTCTCAGACTTTTCAAGAAAATGGGTTTTGGGGCTCAAAGCCACCCACAGACCATTAACTTTCAACCCTCAATATTTGAGATTCAACAACACTGAGAACATGGTGACAAGAACTCTTCAATTCAAGCTGAGATACAGATATCAAGCAGGATGTTAGCAAAAAACCGTGTCCACGACGTTAACGGGGCCGCAAGCCCGTTGGAGAGAGCACTGCATGGGATGCTGGAGCACACATAATGTCGAGTAGACTCTGGGGTCAAAAGAAGGGACTCACGGGGTGAGAATTCATTCATTATCTTCTTTTAAAAAAAACAAATGCTTACTTGAGAGACAGCACAGCTGTACCTGACATGACATTAGAAGCAGTATATATTTAGAAGCCCAGAATTACAGGCATTCCAAGCATGACCCTAGTATTACACATTGCTATTTTCAGTGCAGTTGTTTCGTTCACAGCTATCAGCATATCAGTATTAGTCAGGGTGAGAAGCCTACTAATTAACCGCTAGTTCAAAAACATGAGGAAGATTCTCAGGATCATGGCTTTAACCATCTTGTGTATACAAGTGTATGGTTTAAGAGACAAGGTAAAAAATGACAGAGGACTGTCCTGCTACAATGCTGTATATGGTTAGATTTCTAAATTTCTGTGTAAAAATATGCAATTGTTTATTCTTAATTGTTATGATTTTTTTATTTCTTGTTTTTTTCCTTCACATTCTGTAGTGATTTAAAGTTTAACATATCAATACTTAATGGAAAATACTTGTTCCAATTTATGTATAAGATGTTTGAAATCAGACAGACACAGAGGTTAAGCTCAATTGCCTATGTTATAGGGTAATAATATCATTAAGCTTCTCTTCTAGAGGGTTAACAATTTATGTTTGCAGACCAAAGATTAACAAAAAGGAGGACTGCAAGGACAGCCAACATTTTGGACCTAGCCATTCAAGGTCAATGAGGATTCAGGACATAAGAGAACCTGCACTGTGATATCCTGTAACTCAGTGGTGTCCCAAATTTACTGATCAGGGAGATTATGGGGCCAGAGAAGAAAGTGATCAATGATGTACACCGTCTCTAAGGAGACTCTCCTGGAGAAAAAACATTCTCTCAGGCTTTCACAGAGAGCAAATTGGTCAAGCAATGGCCGTGACTCATCCACATGGCTGACATTGACAAAGGATCTACAAACTGTGGTACAGTGATTAAAGCTAAATCCTAAGGAGATTTGACTGACTTTGTCAGATAAGAACTTACATTTCTGTTATATAGGTCTTGCTTTATTTTGGTCTTAACCCTCCAGAGGAAAGTGTAAAAATGAAGTATAAAAAGTAAAGCCATATTAATAAGCTGAGCTATAAAAGACTCAAGTCAACAACTTCTGGCAGTGCCAGTCATATGGATAACCCACTACTGTCATGGACTACTGGACTATATTTTATTATTTTGTTGAATTCAAGCACCTACAGTATTTAAATGGTGATAGAATACCCATCTCTGACAAAACTAAACAAAAAATGGATACAAATGAAGGACAATTTTATATGTGTATATACAAAATAGTTATGGTAGATATACAGCTACTTTGTCTAAATTCAGTGAGAAAAAAGATTTGTACTAATAGTGTTTGGAAAGCATATCATGTCTGTATCTTCTACTATGAATAAGTACTACTAAGAGAATAGTATGCAATCCATTAATTATCATAACTGTCCCTTTAACCTCTTTTGAAATGGTATCATTGTTAATTGTTTTGCAATAAAATTAATTAAAAAAAAGAAAAAGCAGAGGGTGACTTTTCAGGACCAAGGCTCTCGTGCACCAGCTGCTATCTCTCCCCTCTCTCAGGCTATACCCAGTCCATCCTGAATCCTGAGTCACAGAGCAGCTGTGGCCATCCAGCTTTGCATCACACAGAGCATGTGACTCTTCAAAAAACTAAATTATTTTATTCCACCCTCACAAGAATTCCTTGAGGTAGGTCACTGCCATGTTAATTTCATCAAGGAAGAAAATCTAGTTCAGGGAGGTGGGTTGGTTCTGACAACTTTAGGGTGGAGCTGACTTGTGACTGGGTCCAAAAGCTGAACCTCAGTTCTGGGCTGGGGCTGTGACCCGGGCAGAGCACCCTGCTGGCCACCCAAACCTCTGTCCCATTCCTGCCACATGTGGGGGGCACATGTCTTTTAGATAAGTTACTGGGAAACCCAAACACCACATGGGGGCCAGCTGAGATGAAGAGTTGTAGATTGCAATTCCATTTATAATTCAATTTAGCATATAGAACTTGTAAACTTTCTGCCCAAGATCAGAGTTCTGTTATTTAGTTTGCAAACTGATATATAGGTAGACAAGAATATGCTCCTCAATCACTTGCCCTTTGCAGCTTCTCTTTCTTATAAAGCTGTTGAGAAATCAGGGGATACAAATAGGAAGGTGTCTGGAGAAGTTGCTGAACCTTAGTGATAGTAGAGTTTTGAATTTTCCAGTAGGAGAAAAGAGGATGAAGTTATCACGATAGATAATGTATTAAATTTTAAAAATCTCAGTCCTTAAATATATGAGTGTTGAAATGGAGAGTGATTCTCTGATGGTGCTTGATTCAGTTGTATGAGGCTCTGTATGCAATATGCTGAAATTTATTATTCAATTAATGTCTTAGTCATGGACAGTCCTGAAGTACATGCTAGCCTTTAGTGGAGTTATGCCAGGGGTATAAAAGCATTTTGATTCCATGTAGTTTCTTTACATTTAATGCTGTTGCTTCTTTCCTCTTTGCTGCAGGGCATCTCTTGTTTCTCAAATAATGTGGATGGAGAACAGGACAACAGTGAGAGATTTCATTCTGCTAGGTCTGAGCACTGACCCAGAGCTACAAGTCCCTCTCCTTGTAATGTTCCTTCTCAACTACCTCATCAGTATGCTGGGGAACCTGGGGATGATCGCCTTGATACTCTGGGACCCGCGTCTGCACACCCCCATGTACTTCTTCCTCGGGAACCTGTCCCTGGTGGACGTCTTTTACTCCTCCGCTGTCACTCCCACAGTTGTAGCTGGGCTCTTGATGGGAAACACGGTCATCTCCTACAAGGCCTGTGTGGCTCAGATGTTTATGTTTGCCACCTTTGCCTCAACAGAAATTTTCCTGCTGGCTGCCATGGCTTATGACCGTTATGCCGCGGTGTGCAAGCCCTTACATTACACCACCACCATGACCACAAGTGTGTGTGCGTGCCTGACCTTGGCCTGCTACGTTGGTGGCTTCGTGAACGCCTGCATCCACACTGGGGAAGACTTCAGTCTCTCCTTCTGTAAGTCCAGAGAGGTCCATCACTTTTTCTGTGATGTTCCAGCGGTCATGCTTCTGTCTTGCTCTGACACACATTTCAGCGAGATGGTTCTTGTTTATGCCGACACCATTGTTATCTGCTCTGCTCTGTTTGTTATCTTGGTGTCTTATGTGTTCATTTTTATCAGCATCCTCAAGATGCGCTCAGCTGCAGGGTACCAGAAGGCTCTGTCCACCTGCCTCTCGCACTTCACCGCAGTCACCATCTTCTTCGGAACTCTCATCTTCATGTACCTGCAGCCCAGCTCCAGCCACTCCATGGACACGGACAAGATCGTGTCCGTGTTCTACACCATGGTCATCCCCATGCTGAACCCCGTGGTCTACAGCCTGAGGAACAAGGAGGTCAAGGGCGCATTCAACAAGGTGGTGGGGAAGGCAAAACATTTTCTAGGTCTGTGAGTGTAGTACTGTAGAGTCTGTAATGCCTTAGTTTTATTTTCTTTATCAGTTAGTGACTTTTTAAGGCCCACATTCCTGTGAAAGTCCAGAAGGGAGGACCTTCACACGTGTGTGTTTTAGCAAAGGGAAACAGCGTCTGCCGTGTTGTGCCTGAAGGAGAGCATAGAGCACGCCGTGTGAAGTGTGTGTTCCGCGCGTCAGCACCCTGTGGGAGGAGGCGAGTTTCACTCCTCCTGCACGGAGTGTTCCTATGTCCTTGTCACTACAGACACACATGTGACACCTGCACGGGCCCAGGTGGGAGCACACCTGTGGGAACAGAGGACGGCCCAGAGGTAGAGGAAGGGCTGCTAATATTTAATAAAAATATTTTACATGTTTAATTGAGACTAAAATATAATGTTCTAACTAAAGTTTACTTTCCTGATGTGTCATCCTCCCAATTTTCATTGTATATGCTGATCACCTTAAATGTATATACCCATACCATATGCCTATTTTATGAAGAGAAACTGAATATCTTCAATGAATTAAAATTTTTTACCATGCTATCCTGCCTCAGAGCCAGCTAACTATAACCTGAAATGTGAACCAAAATAAACCTCTCCTCCCTTAAGTTGTGAGTGTCAGGTATTTTGTTCCAGCAACAAGAAACGTATCCAAGACACACACGGTGAGCACAGAGCACTACCTGTGGGGTCAGTGGATGAGGGAAAGACTACCCGGTGTCCTTTGCGGGGCTACTGTAGGGAGGGAGGCAGCAGGGCTCTGTGCATAGGGTGGGAGACATCAGCCCATCTGATTCCAGAGCCTAGCTTGAGCAGGGCATGTGGAACAGGACGCAGGGAATGTTGATGTTGAGAGAGGAAGTGGGGAGAGAGTTATAACCTTTCCAGGCCACATCCTCTATTAGGGTTTGTGTCTGGATGTTCCCCCAAAACCTCATATAGTCATGGGGGCCTGGATTTTCCCAGATGGCAGAAACCAGAGTTTGTGATTGTTTTTTTGTCTAGTACTGGGACTGAGGATGGGAGTGCTACATCTGCCCAAGGGCGAGTAGCCTGCGCACACTGTAAGGGAGGGAAAGAGGCTTGCTACTCTCCTTGCTGCTCTTGTAGCTTTTGTATTTTCTGCCACCTTCCTGCCACAGCTGATTATGAACTGAAACCTTCATAAACTGTGAAGCAAATAAAGCTTTTCTTCCTCAAAAAATAAGTAAGTAAAATAAATAAAATAAAATTTTTATATTGACTGCAGTCACTTTGTGGAGCCTACATTTTCATTTTGCAATTTGGGGGATGATAAAAGAGCTGTAGCATAACCAGGCAGGACAATAAAGCCATTTTAGAAGTTGTTATTGCTGCATAGTCACCGACATTCACATTAAAAATGCTCTGAGATGACAGGAATAATGCTCTAGATTTGCCCTTTGTGCAGTGCATGGAGATGCCCGCTGATGCTCATTCCCTCTACACGTGGCTGCGCCGTCCTGTGTGTCCGCATGCCCACTGTCCTGAGCCCCATGGCATTCACTCTGGTCTTGCTGTTTCTTTGGGATCCCCACACAGTCCCGCTGGGGATGCCCTGTGGAGCACGCTGCCCCAGGGAAGGGCTCCTCATTTCATTCCGGCCCCTTCCAGTGTGCGCCTCCGGAACCACACTTCTTGATATCTCACGCAACACTCACTTTCCACCCCATGCGAGAGTCATGGTGACCCTGGGCGTGGAAGGCCCACCTGAGATTTGTTGCCAAAATGATACAAAGGAGCAAAAGGAGGGCACATTGTGCGCCGCTATTTTCCCAGAGAAGCTTGGTGCCGCTGACTGTCCCGATGTCCTAGGTAGTGAGATCAAGGGTGGCTGCGGTTCTCCTAG